TCTAACGATCCATTGATCTAGGGATCTAACGAGGTGGCGATCTAACGATGTAGCGATCTAACAATCTAACGATCTAGAGATCTAACGATCTAACGATCCATCGATCTAGCGATCTAACGATCTACCGATCTAACGATCTAACGAGCTAGCGATCTAACGATCTAACGATCCATCGACCTAGCGATCTAACGATCTAACGATCCATCGATCTAGGGATCTAACGAGGTGGCGATCTAACGATCTAGCGATCTAACGATCTAACGATCTAACGATCCAACGATCTTGCGATCTAACGATCTAGCGATCTAACGATCTAACGAGCTAGCGATCTAACCATCTAGCGATGTAAAGATCTAACGATCCATCGATCTTGCGATCTAACGATCTAGCGATCTAACGATCCATCGACCTAGCGATCTAACGATCTAACGATCCATTGATCTTGCGATCTAACGATCTAGCGATCTAACGATCTGGCGATCTAACAATCTAACGATCTAACGATCTAAAGATCGATCGATCTTGCGATCTAACGATCTATCGACCTGGCGATCTAACGATCTAACGATCTAGCGATCTAACGATCTAGCGATCTAACAATCTAGCGATCTAACAATCTAGCGATCCAGCGATCTAGCAATATAACGATCCAGCGATCTAACGATCTACCGATCTAACGATCTAAGGATCCATCGACCTAGCGATCTAACGATCCATCGATCTAGGGATCTAACGAGGTGGCGATCTAACGATCTAGCGATCTAACAATCTAACGATCTAAGGATCTAACGATCCATCGATCTTGCAATGTAACGATCTAGCGATCTAACGATGTAACGAGCTAGCGATCTAACGATTTAGCGATCTAACGATCTAACGATCCATCGATCTAGCGATCTAACGATCTAACGAGCTAGCGATCTAACGATCTAACGATCCATCGAGCTAGCGATCTAACGATCTAGCGATCTAACGATCCATCGATCTAGGGATCTAACGAGGTGGCGATCTAACGATTTAGCGATCTGACAATCTAACGATCCAACGATCTTGCGATCTAACGATCTAGCGATCTAACGATCTAACGAGCTAGCGATCTAACCATCTAGCGATGTAAAGATCTAACGATCCATCGATCTTGCGATCTAACGATCTAGCGATCTAACGATCCATCGACCTAGCGATCTAACGATCTAACGATCCATTGATCTTGCGATCTAACGATCTAGCCATCTAACGATCTGGCGATCTAACAATCTAACGATCTAAAGATCGATCGATCTTGCGATCTAACGATCTATCGACCTGGCGAGCTAACGATCTAGCGATCTGACGATCTAGCGATCAAACAATCTAGCGATCTAACAATCTAGCGATCTAACAATCTAGCGATCCAGCGATCTAGCAATATAACGATCCAGCGATCTAACGATCTAAGGATCCATCGACCTAGCGATGTAACGATCCATCGATCTGGGGATCTAACGAGGTGGCGATCTAACGATCTAGCGATCTAACAATCTAACGATCTAAGGATCTAACGATCCATCGATCTTGCGATCTAACGATCTAGCGATCTAACGATCTAACGAGCTAGCGATCTAGCGATCTAACGATCCATCGATCTAGCGATCTAACGATCTAACGAGCTAGCGATCTAACGATCTAACGATCCATCGAGCTAGCGATCTAACGATCTAGCGATCTAACGATCCATCGATCTAGGGATCTAACGAGGTGGCGATCTAACGATCTAGCGATCTGACAATCTAACGATCTAACGATCCAACGATCTTGCGATCTAACGATCTAACGAGCTAGCGATGTAACCATCTAGCGATGTAAAGATCTAACGATTCATCGATCTTGCGATCTAACGATCTAGCGATCTAACGATCCATCGACCTAGCGATCTAACGATCTAACGATCCATTGATCTTGCGATCTAACGATCTGGCGATCTAACAATCTAACGATCTAAGGATCTAAAGATCGATCGATCTTGCGACCTAGCGATCTAACGATCTATCGACCTGGCGATCTAACGATCTAGCGATCTAACGATCTAGCGATCTAACAATCTAGCGATCTAACAATCTAGCGATCCAGCGATCTAGCAATATAACGATCCAGCGATCTAACGATCTAGCGATCTAACGATCTAGCGATCTAACGATCTAAGGATCCATCGGCCTAGCGATCTAACGATCCATCGATCTAGGGATCTAACGAGGTGGCGATCTAACGATCTAGCGATCTAACAATCTAACGATCTAAGGATCTAACGATCCATCGATCTAACGATGTAACGATCTAGCGATCTAACGATCTAACGAGCTAGCGATCTAACGATCTAGCGATCTAACGATCTAGCGATCTAACGATCGAACGATCCATCGATCTTGCGATCTAACGATCTAGCGATCTAACGACCCATCGACCTAGCGATCTAAAGATCTAGCGATCTAACGATCTGACGATCTAACGATCCATCGATCTTGCGATCTAACGATCTAGCGATCTAACGATCTGGCGATCTAACAATCTAACGATTTAACGATCAATTTTTGGCAATTATAGGATTAAGACAGCAAGTGGCTCTGTTTAAAGAGATAAGGCAGCTGTTAAATTAAGTACAAGTTGCTACCTAAGAGAGAGGGTGGGTCATTTTAACATTCCATACACACAAATAAGATTTCACTCGAATATGGTATTTATTCACGTTGAAAGCCCCATTTAAACTTTCACAATAAATATATATCACTACTTGTCATTTATAATATATTCCTTTTCCCCATTTTGTCATATATGGTAAGCCAACCAGTCTAAATTATACATCTGTTATCTATACAAAGAAAAATGGCTTCTTTTCTTGTTTTACTTGAATACATATACATAAATTAAAGTGGCCAGCCACAGGTAGCACTTCTTCTACAAAATATTTATTTCTCTTTTTAGCAAATTTACTAACGCATAATTTAGAAAAATACTTGAAGAACCTAGTGAACAATTTTAAAGCTTCAGTTTTTTATCCCTCCAAACTCTAAGTCTGTCCTCCTGATGCACTGTTAAAGTTTTAAGTATGAAGCAAACATGGTATTATTTTTACAGACAAAAAGGTAAAAAGATGGGAAGCGCGAGTTTGATTTTATACATGCTCGGACAATTAGTATGCGTACACCAGCTCATTTAGTATTTCGCGCAAAAATTCAAGGCTATTATCTTTGTTGGACAAGATTAGTGGCCACACAGTCAAACAATGCATTCGTTTCGTTTCAGAGTGAGGCTGCTTAACACGTCGATGAAAGTTTGCCATAGAGAGCTTTAGATTCGAGGACGGTAACGACTACACGTACGACATTTTTCAATGGAGAGTTTTAGATCCGAGTTTACCGCGAACCTCTAACCGCTGGAGGTCACGTGACAAGTCTTTCGCGTCACGTTTGGGGTTTACGACGTGCGTTTTCAACGTGGGGAAGTAGGTTTTCACATATGTCATTTACCTGAAAGCTTTTAGCGTATAATTCTTGTTTTATCCCACGTAATGATATAAAAATCTTGTGGTGGAAGTCTTTATCCATTAACAGAGGCACAAATTCAGGAGAAATGCTAAATTTGATAAATCCTATTGGATCTTGAAAACAAGTGCCATTCACGGCTGCTGATTCAAAATGGTGGCCGGTAAATTTGCAAGAAGAACTAATGGAAGAATTTACAGCTCTTCGCTGCTACATAACCCAGTGTTACCGTAAATTTCTTTTATATTCACTGATTGATATTTCGTCTATTTCTAAATGGAAAATAAACAAGAATCCACTTCTTTAATCCACTGCCAATCTAAATCTAATTATGTTTGAACGTCGAACCGCAAACGTGTAACTGCAAACCGCGGTTAGAGGTTCGCGGTAAACTCGGATCTAAAACTCTCTAATACTACGTAGTGCACGCGCGTAAACTAGTGTATTTTGGGGCGAAAACGTTGTAGCCGTCGTCATTCTACAACGAGTTTAAGCGAGAATGTCGTAGTGGCGGGAACAAGTTGTCAAATAAAAGAAGTTTTATCATCTTGCTACCGGGAGAGGGCTTAACCGTCTTCACTACAAATAACCGTAGTAAATTACCGGCGGAAAAAAAAAGGCAAAATGAGGCTTTACGGCTTGTTTTGTTTTTGAAAACACGCGCAAAAACTTTACTAGTTCTTGTTCTCAAATCTAAAGCTCCCTAATATCCCATAGAATAAATCGTCTTTCATAAACGATCACTTTGTTGAAAGAGTAGGAGGGGGGGGGGACGTTTGTGTGGGACCAGTATAAGGAGGAGGGGAGGGGAGGGTAAGGAAGAATGTGCATGACTAAGCGAAAGGGTTTGGGGGAATGGAGTCTGTTTAAGTGTTTAACGCAGGCCGCTTTTCTCAAGAGCATCTCATAAATAAAACACTGACACTGGTCGAAATTTACAGTGGTCGCAATCTCGACCAATTTAAAACTTGTCGCTGATTTGCGCTCGTTCCTTTTTTTCAAAATGTCACTTAATGGTTATTTTGGCGATACGGTTAAGTACAAAAGCTTTCCATGTAATCATCCTTTTGTCTCTTACGTTCAGCACAAGACCCGAGGGGGAGGGTGCTCAACAAATGTTATACGAAGAGGCTCCGCCCAGGAGTCCAACCCCTTACCCTTTTACATACCATTTTTGACAGCAAAAGAAGCCCCTTTCGTATACCTCCCATTGACCAATGGGATCCCTTTCACATATCTAGTTTAGAACTTTTCATCCCTTTCAACTGCTGTAAATGGGCTGTCTTTAAAATATGAAGAAGTCACAAAACCAGGAAATTTTCTCGACTTTTTCTCAGCCATAAAATGCATCTGTTAGCCCTTTTGGGCCTATTTTACCGACCGAAAAGACAGATTTCCTCCCCGTTCATATACTTCCACAAGTGAAAAGAGCCCCCTTTCAGTCGGAGCCTCCTCGTATAGGTCATTATAGTACCCTCCCCCCCGCCAGGGGGAAGGGCCTCGCTTAACAACTCGATTTATGAAATACCCATCCCCCAAAAAGCAATCAAACCATCTCCCTCCCTCTGATCTCTAGCTTTTCTGTTTCTCTAAAGTTTTTCTGTCACCTACCCGGCTATCGCCCTCATCTGTTACTAAATCTTTAATGTTACTTGCCTCACTATTTCTGTCGTTTACGTCTAACTCTTCTATCCTGCCTGGCATAGCGTCCATCTCGTCCGACTCCATATCTTCTACGATGCCTGAATGGCCCCCTTCACGCAGTTCCAGACAGCAGAGTTCCTTTTCCCTTGGTTCTCGGTGTTGGTTCTTCTTCAGCTGTTCAATTAACGCATCTTTAGACTTCAATAAAACAACACAGGATACAAGCTTAATAATATTAAGTAAGGAAAACAGACGCTTCTTGGTCAGCGTCCATGTGTGATAAATACTTCAGAAAAGAAAATGCTAACTTGAAAGTAAAGTATGAAAAAAGAGTCCCGTGTTAATTTTAATGGAGTTGCAGGCCTGAGCGGACTGTCTTTCGAAAGCTCTGTAATTCGTTGGGCCCCGAAAGCCGTGTTGTAATTGCCGTGTTTACATTCACGATCAAAGCTTTAAGAATTTTGAAAATTATGCAATGAGTCTATCAGTTAACGAGCCAAAATTGACTGGTTTTCATTGCGAGTTAAGAACTATGCCATTTTTCTACAAGTTTTGATTTTAAAATTTACCTTCGGGCCCGAAAAGTTTCCGGGCCTTTCGAGAAACGGGCCCCTGGCCCTTCACCAGCGGAATCCCCAAAAGGTGTCAATTTTCAAACGTTGGTTGAGGTTTAACAACAATCAACCTGATTTTTCAGGCTTAACCGTTTACAGCAAGGAGCCCAAAAGTGTAACCTTTAATTAACTCACATTCTTTCATGCAGACATTAACCAATCAGAAGTCGAGGACAGTTTCCAGCTGGCTTCTGATTGGATGAAATCTGCACGAAAGAATGTGAATAGATCAAAAGCGGTCACTCTTTTAGGCTCCTTGCTGTAACTCCTAAGAGTGATTAGCATGAATATTCTCCATGTGATACCAACGCTTTATAAAACAGATTGGTGATGAGAATTAAGGAGATGATCACACAACATCAATCTGGTTGATACTTCAAAAACTTCTCCCTACTACTTTTATAGGAAAGGTATATGCACAACAACTGAGAATTTCAATTTTGATAGTCAGGTTTAAAGGTTTTATAGTGATGGGCCCGTGAGTGTCTCTACCGAGTTAAGTACGAGGTGTAACGTGAATCACTTACCCGAACTTCGCTACGAAGAAATTCGATTTCACTTGAGAATCTCTCGCTGAGTTCGCGAACAAGGGCTTCCTTGATCTAACAAAATGCAGAGAAACTTTTTGTCACTAAAAATTAAAAGGATGTCACTAATTTAACCCTACACAACCACCCACCCATCAAAGGAATCGCTCATAGTACGTCGCGTACAGCCGATGATATAGTCGCTGTTAGACAGCCAAAAAGACACTGGTTGAGTTTGCCTTTGTGACAACAGGATAAGGTAGTGTATGACACTCGTAATTTGGGTCTTTATTGCAACTGGCAAGTTTACAGTCAAACGGAAATAATTTGAAACTGTTTACGCGCGCCACAATGTGCGAACCTTAGAGCAATTAGAATGGCGCAATAAGGGTTATAATTTGAAATAAAGCTATGATGACACCGCTGGACATACTTGCCAAAAATGATCCTGACAAACATAAATCCAGATTGTTACGCTTAAATACACACAGGACACCCAAGGAACCACAGGAGACCCAAAGCCTGGGGGCGCCCAGCAACAACCATGGTGAACACTTCAGAATAAGAGCGAACGCTCTTTCTGATCGCAAAAACAAATGTTGTGCTTGGAGAAGGGGATCTCGCGATTAAGTACAGAAATCTCACCTCTTCACGGAACTCTTGGAGACATCTTTCTCTTTCTTCTTTCAATTCTTTTTTGGCATTTTCGATGTGAAAGTGTATTCTTGCCCTTCGTGATGCCTTTCTGCGAATCGATAGTTCATCGCCAATCTTCGAAAGTCCAGTATTCAAGGACGACTGCTCTATCAGAAGATCTGCCATCTTACAAAATAAAATCATTTAAAAGTCAAGCTTTGTCATAAAATTTTTTCAAAAATCAATCGAAGATTACTGCAACTGCAGTACTTTCCTGTGGTACTGTTTATTATGTTTTACAAGGTGGTTCTAACCTTGGAGAACGAGGATCAAGTTCTAAAGTGTGAGTGACTATTCAAATGAAAGCTACTGAGCAGTACTTTCCTGTGGTACTGTTTATTATGCTGTACAAGGTGGTTCTAACTTTTAGGACTGTGGACGAAATCCTATGGTGTGACCATTCAAATGAAAGCTACTGAGCAGTACTTTCCTGTCGTACTGTTTATTACTATGTACAAGGTGATTCAAACTTTGGAGTCTGTGGACGAAACCCTATGGTGTGACCATTCAATCGAAACCTCTTTAACAGAGCTTTTGCAGTTTATTTTTTGCTATTGCACAAAACCAAATTCGACTTTTTGGGGGAATATTTTACTATGACCACCTCAAGGAGTGAAAGAGTTTAGGCGTTCTAAAGTAATGCTGACTATACCTTTTGAGAAACCTCAGACCCAAGTGAATCACTTGAAACTCCTGCTAGAAGCATATCCCTGCGTTCAATGAGTAGATGTTTCATCCGGTCAAGTTCTGAACTGATCATTAACCTAAGCTCTTGAATTGCATTCATCTCCTCTGTTATGCTACAAAACGGAGAACCAGCCAGAACGTTTCGTGAATTTGTTATAAATGCGTCGCAGTACATGTTAAACCTATTATCAGCTGAGGCTCGAAAGTGTTTTGGGGATTACTTTAGCTCCTCGCTTGGTAATTGGCTTTGTGATCTCAACCAATCAAAACTTAACTCAACACCTTGCTCACAGGGGTTTTCCCGCGCTTGGCACCCACGTCACAGCTTCGAGGTGTGATTGGTTCATTTGGTTGTGAATGTCAGCTCGTGTTGTGACTGGCTAGAGTAATAATTTTACTTCTGGTTTGCAAATACTAGACCGGGACAAAGGAGGAGAGCTGAGTGGTTTAGTAACACACGCAGTTTTCGATCGGTTTGTTATGAGTTGTATTAAAATGAATAAATAGAACTCGTCCAATAACACCATAGTGCTCGCAGGGTGATGTTACAGGGGCGGATCTTGGAGGAGGGTGCAGGGGTGCACACCCTCCCCCCCTGAGATGACCTAATACAACTGATTTTCTGGAAAATATGCAGATATGTATGATATGTATTCTCAGCAGTTCAGATTATGTTATTGCCTAGTCAAAAGCCTTCTTCGTATTCGCTTTTAAAATTTGTTTACGTCACCAGTCAGTTACGCCATCCCTTAGTAGTGGAACCCCTCCTAAGAAAAATCCTGGATCGCCCCTGTGCCCCCCGGGGGGGTACTCCGCATATGAAAGGGGTGGGGATGCTCGTCGTTTCGCTTAGGGGTGTAAATTTCGGATTTTGGTCTCACTTAGGGTGTTCTGGGCAACAGGCCATCATATTTAGCCGCGACGGGTCTCGTTTAGGGTTGCAAGCGAAAAAATATAAATATATATAGATTGCCTGTGTTTCAACATGGTCTCTTTTAGGGGTCAAAAAAAGCTTGGGCCACGCCCAGATCGGTCTCCTTTAAGGGTTTAATTCAAAATTTCCGACGAGCATCCCCACCCCTTTCATATGCGGAGCCCCCCCGAGCCCTGTGCTATAGTTGCTATCATTACTGCTATATCGGAAAAAGAGAAAATATTACAACGAATGACTGTATCAGACATGTACAACAGAGAAGAGCAAAAGCTGAACAGACGTACCGGGCAAGCATGTGTTTAGTGGAGTAAGAAGCCCCGAGTTCATCCAATGGCCCACCAGAACTTAAGGCGGTTTCGTACTTTTGAATGCTTTGCTCGAGAACGTTAATTTCGTGCAGGTAGTGCTGAAAATCGAAAATTAGAAATGACGTGAAAATAATGAATGCAAGAGAACCGTCTTAACTTTATCACAGGAGTATAATTGATCATGATTCCATCTATTAGTAATGTTATAGGATTGTTAATATTCGAATAAGCTTAGCTACGTTACAGCGACGTATAAACTAGGGGCCTGTTTATATGAGCCGGCTCAGTTAACTGAGCTGGCAGCTGGCTCATCCCTTAGGAATAGGCCCTAATGTTACCCAACATGTGTATAAACCTAAAGTAAAAATATCCTGAGTAAACAAAGTCGTCACGACCTTTAACCAACCTGATGATTGTTAGAATTTTGGAGCCAGATACACATGATCATAGCCCACTACAGACCGCTTCATTAGCTGTAAGCTATAAGCGCAGAACCAATGCCTAGAGCGGGAAAACTTGTTCAAAACAACATCGTGCGCCGTTTGTTGAGCATTTCAAATTGACCATGTTGGACCGTGCTTCACTTTTTAGAACAGGGTTCGTACAGATTTTTTTTACAAATTTCAGAACTTTTTTCAGACTTTTTCCAAAACAATAATTTCTTTTTCCAGACTCAAGGTTATCAATTAGGTGATCAATAGAGACCTTCAAAAAACGGAGGAAGCTTTTTTCATAATGCGTTTCAAGCGTTTGGGCAAGATTGTATAAGATTTGATGAAACCGAAAAAAAATCCCTTATACAGCAATTGTAGCTTTCAAAAAAAAAAACTTAAAACTTTTTGTCTCTATTTTCCAGACTTTTTCCAGGTCTGGAAAATTGCTGGACAAATTTCAAGACTTTTTCAAGAATTCAAGACTCTGTACGAAACCTGTTAGAAAAGCGTCCGCCTTATTGGCTACTTTGAGTTTCCGAGTGAGACTGGGTCCGTGTTTCGCCGAACTGTATTATGGGTCTGTTTTGAGGATGCTATCGCTTCTTTTATTGGTTGTTACAAGGTTGCGTAGGAAACTGGGACAAAACTCGTTCCCCAAAAGAGTCCCATAATGCATTTCGACACAAGACGAAGACTGGACTGTTTTACTAAATTTTACAAACCACAGACTGACAAACAACCCATTACAACGCTAAAACAAACATACAAACAAAGAACAAAGAAACACAACAACAAGTGGCAATTGCAGTACGTTTATTAAAAAGTACATGTATCTATAACAAACAAAGATTAAGCCATATTATTACCAAGCGTGGCATACATTCACTAAATAATTATTTTTACTTGCACCTATTCGGATTTGTTATAGCATGCATCAACTTTTCATGGTCAACTACTCGAAGCATTATTGGTGTTCGGTTTTTTTGTTGTTTTGGTGAAAGAGTCGCCACGATTGGCATCCCTTGGTCGAGAGGGCTTTCAACGAAAAAAAGCAAGCCAAAGGCTACAACATTTATCCATATTCAAGAGATGCCAATTATAACAGCACATTGTGACGCTTTATGCCATCTCAAATAAAGGGCAGCACTGAATGGAGTCTATTTGCTTCATGTAATAGGCGACTTTTAAGTACCAAAAATCCTCACTTTCAAAATAAGGCCAAGCGCACACCCTTTCCTGTGAAAATGAGTTTTATTTGCATGAGAATGAAAACATTTCCATATCAAAGGTTGAGCACTTAACATCGTATTGATACGGAGCCCGGGGGAACTCAGAAATGGCCTATTACCACCCTAGAAGTGCACGACTGATATCCCGGTCAAGCCTGAATTTTTGTTCAGGTTCTTTTAATACCGCTTAGGTTGTTCAATCTACTGCGAAGATCATGTCCACTTTCACGTTATTACAACTGTTTGAAGAATTTTTTTAAATAATCATTTCGTGGGCTCTAGTATATTTTCTCTTTTCTCACTTATAAACAGTTTTTCGTTCTCAGACGACATTAATTACTCATGACGTGAAAACAAGTCTTAGGAATCATTTATCACTTGAAATGCTTTATCAAACATTCAAAACAGTGTCTCATCCGATGTCCAGACACCTCGAAGTAGATCTAAAAAATTGGCTGCACCTTTCGGTGTCTGCAAGAACACTATTTCTCGTGTTGATATACTGCATGACTTCATTTGTAGCTCAATTCATAGAGCTATCTATCACTCACAAAACAAAAGAGAGATGGAAAATATTCCAAGACGAGCACTCGTACTCAGAAAAGTCATGCAGTACCTATATTGGACAACGACATTTGGACATGCTATGTCCATAATGTCTGACAATACAAACTACACAATCACAAACTGACCTGTTGATATTCAGAATCAACTTTCCGCAAAGCCTTTTCTGAGTCCTCTTTATGATTTACCTCCACGCATGCTCCAAACGCTCCTGTCAAGGTCAAAGGCTCCATTTTCCCAGCGACAAGATCACGTGATAATCGGGTATCTTGCCTAGTGTCATTTACACTGTCACGTGCGGGAGAATAATTGTCCATGTTTTTATATATTTTTTTCTCATCTGCAGCAAAATTATGCTCTAAAGTAACATTTGTCGTTGCAGTTAAAAGGGATATGCTCTCCTCATCTCTAACAGCTTCATTAGCCTTAGAGTTTGACCTCAATTCGGACTCGGTGTTCGCGATGTCGATGTTGTCTTGTAACTCGCTTCTGACATGTTCAACAGAGGTCAAATCTGTATTGTTTAAACTATTACCTGGTGCATTCAGTAAGGCTTTTTCTTCCCCGAGCGTTGGTGTACTGTGGTAATTAACGTCTGTTTTACCAACCCAAGTATCTGAGCTAGAGGCCGAAAAAACAACGGCTGGTTCTTTAGTAAAACACTCAAGAAACCTGGGCTCGGACTCCACAGTGAAGGTATCATGGCTTGCTTTCATGCGAAGACGGGCCTCGTCATCGGCAGGGGCTACAGGCGCAAATGACTGGGGACTATAACACCACTCCGCTAAAGCTTCCCCGTCAATAGGACGCTGTTTAGTCAGGGATCTTGTTCTCCTTTGCGCGAACGAAGCTCGCGGAGAATTTTCGTCTAAATTTTGTTTACCTTCCTGGGTCTTTTCAGAAGTCAAGTTAAGAATTTCTGGATCTAACAACGCTGTCAAAGGTCTGCGTGCGTCACTAACAGTGACATGCGCATCACCAGATAATCGTTTTGGCATTAATGTTGGTGATGAAGAGTTTGGAGTGAGTGACTCTTTATCTGGCGGCATTTCCTCAAATCCACTACTTTCACCACTGTTTTCACGAGTAAGACAATTTCTCAATGATTTGACATTTAATCCAGGTTCTGGGTCTCTGGAACATCCCTTCTCGTTGAAGTCATCATTAGTGATCTCCTCGAGTTCAAAAGAATCTTGAACAACAACACTAGCTACACTTAAATGTGCAGGACTCCGTAATTCAGGAGGAAACTCCTTAACGTCTTCATCCATTTTAGTTAAGAGGTCTTCAGAAATGAAGTTCTCGTTATGATCTGTGATACCTGTGTCTTCACGCGCAGAATCATTGTCATTAACCGCACCGGAAGACAATTTCGTCGAGTCACCCGTCGAAAAGTCTTCACCAATAGAAACACATACGCCCTCGTCCGACTCTACATTTATAACTATCTGTGAATCATTTCCGAACTGAACGACAACCTCTTTCTCATCCATGTCCACCGAGTCCGCGCCTTTTTCCACTTTTTCCACAACAGGGACACTGAGCAGCACTTCAGATTCCGCGATTGGTTGTTCCCAAGATTCTTCCCTGACGATCGTTCCTTCGTTGGAAAGCTTCCTCGAAATCTTAGTTCTTACAGTACCGCTTCCGACCGATGAAACTTCAAGTTCTTCCGTGACTGGTTCTAAAAACATTCCTTTGCTCGAGTGAGTAGGCTTGTTGAGTCTAAGGTGCCTCATTAAGTCAAACGAGTCTTCAGGGGCCTCCTCAGGTTCGGAGATTAGGGGTACAGAATGACAGCTCTCGCTGAGCACTGGGTTCACTGGTTCCGGACTTGTGATAAACCTGAGTGGGATCCTACTGGAGCCTGGATCCGACCATGCTGGGGAGTCTAGAGACTGGAGAGAAATGATAACACTTATCACTACTTCATATATGACCCCACAGTGAAATACCTTTCCAGTGAATATATTATACGCAGTATATAGGCTAGTGCGCATCCTTTTCGGAAACGATCAACGGAAGTCAAACATGAACCACGTCATGAAGAAGACCTGATCGCGAAGAAGGAATTCTAAGAGTTGAATTTTAAAGCTACATGTACGTCACATTGGGGCACCGCTTATAACCTTCCATTATGGGCTCAAAAGTTTAAAATCACCTTGTAAAACGTAATAAACAATACCAAAGGGAAGTACTGCTCAGTACCTTTTATTTGAATGGTCACACTTTAGGATTTCACCCGCAGACTCAAAAGTTAGAACCACCTTGTACAGCATAATAAACATATTTGAATGGTCAAACCATAGGGTTTCATCTACAGACTCAAAAGTTCGAACCATCTTGTGCAGCATAAAAGCACCACAAAAAAGTATTACTCAGTAGCTTTCATATGAGTGCTCAAACGGTACAACCCTCCACAGACAAATGACATAGCATGTCAACATAAAGCAGTTTCAACAGGGATAAAACTCTCTACCTAACCTTAGCCACATTTGGAGGCAATTGGTAAACAACATTTCGATGTGTCTCGCCAGTGTCTAGCCTAACTGACCATTGATCAGAGATTTTTGCATTCAAAAACTTTACAAAGCTGCAACCCACAAAACCAGATTCAAGATTACAGCATAATTCATGTGACATAAATTCTTCCCTGTACCTGTTTGTTTACATTGAAACAAAAACTTGACTTAAAACCGATGCGAAATAGATACTTATTAAATTGTCACAAGAAGTCGTTACTTATAGGAACGGTCAGATGTTTCGCAAAATCTTCTCCTACTATGTGCGGTCCGTTTTGAGTATACAACTTTCGATTGCTGGGATGACTGTCAAATTAAAGACCGACTACTTCTTTTTAACACTCAATTCTGACATGTTTTCGTTGCGTAGCAATGTTTCTGCCTTTCAAACATGTTGTTACACTAATACAACACAAACAAGCGCTCTTTTAAATAACAGTAAACGTCACTCATTGCTTGCAACATTTCAGCCACAAATTCTCTTGTTTGCCTTTTCTTGTCAATAGTTCCGGGCATAAATGAATTATTCTATGTAAAATAATAATAAAAATGTAGCTTCATTAGTTCAAAAGAAACAAATCTTGTTTTCAAATCGTATAATGCATGTCACCTATTTATTATAAAAATAAAATTTTATCATTCCTTGCCTGATCGCTTTGTTTGCTTATTTGGCAACTCGTTGGAACACGACCAGGCCATTAGACCTCATTTGACCGGCTTAAGTTTATTTCTTTTTGTGCGATAGGTAATAAATTATTACTTCAGCCTGAATCACTGCTGCGGGAACATTCGGACACTATGAAAGTTTTTTTGAAAAATATTGTGACGTCTATGAACGCTTAAGAACTACAGCTCCTTCAGTCTCACAAACTTTAGATTTAAAAACGTTTAAGTCGGCCAGTCCAGTTTTGGTAAACCATAAAAATTCGTTCGCTGATTATGGGGCGGTCCGGATAGACTTTTTCTAAATTTTTAAAGTGTTACTCCTATGTTGAAAAAGGACACAGATAATCCTTCCTAGTAGGCATAACTGTTTAATTCTGACCAGTTTTCATATTTGCCTCCTCGCGAATAACTTTTTCAAACATGATGGATCACAGTTCAGAGCCGCGCAAGTGATAAATTTTCAGTGTTTTTGAAAAGGAGGAATCTCAAAAAAAAAAAACAACAACAACAACAACAAAAGACCATGCTAACAGCGACACGTTTACTTGAGTGGCGACATTTTAACAACAACAACTGTTGATTGGTCTCTTAACAAGCGAATTAAACAGTGGGAAGGGAATGTCGTTCTCGGTTGAGCAGGCGTTTGTGGGAAGGGACGAAATACGAGCTCCCCTAAAAACGCCTGCGTGGGAGGCTACTGCGCAGCGTGATTCGTTTTTTTTAAGTCAACAAGGCCAAAGCGTAATTAACTTGTCATACCGGTGATCCGTATACGTCATCTTGATCCAGGCTTTGTCGAAACGTATCAACATCAATGCCACGTGCTTTGGAAGGCGAGTCTAGAAATCGATCCGGAATACGAGAGCGCATGTCTGGTTCACCAAATCCAAGGTCTGAGAGAAATTCCTCTGGATCCACCGTCATTGCATTCAGCAGAGAACTGACATCATTGGAAGTTCTTGAAAAGGAGAAATTCGGGTCTCAACTGATTTACTAAGATTTTATTTACAGATCGAAACAGTATACAACTATCCCCTGAAGGGGAGGTGAATAGTGGTGGTATATGCGCGCTGTTCACCGACCCTGAGGGGGATAGTTGTTTTAGTATTTACCAAATCAGTTGGATAAAAATGAAAAACGTAACTTTTTGTAAATAAAAGACGTCATTTAGTTAGAGTTTGTTTACGTTTCAATTGACAGTGTTTCAGGGATCATTTTTTATGATTTTGCAGCAAATTCAGTAAGAAAATTATTTTCTACCAACCAGTAAACACCGACAAGCCAGATTTTGTCTCTTTCTTGGCCGTATTTGTTGGTGCAGCTGCTTTATTTATCGCTAAAATCTCCTCTTTCGAAACTGTCGCGAAACGATAAGCCATTTTGAATCCTGTTCCAAAACAGTAAATATCCAAGGATATTCCGAGTTACGGGAGCCAATCAGAACGCGCGAAAACTGCTATCCACTGATTTGGTAAATACTTAAGTGGGATATAATCAATTCCGAGTGAAACCACACCAGCACGTAATGACATACTCAAGTTACATCATGATTCAGGAAGTTTGATTTGTACAGATGTTAAGAATATCGATTAATTCAGCTTACCTGCTGAAGTCAGATACGTTGGACAATAGACTATCAGAACTGATATGCCTTCCCACATGAACCAGCTTTTTAATAACTCTTTCACTTCCGGGGTCTCGATCTCCTGAACTTTCAACAGATGATTCATAGTGAAACCTTCAAAAATAAAGAATAGATTCATGAGTTGAGTACTAACTTCGAAGCCGAGGTCCTGTCCAAACTATCCCAGAGAAAATAGAAGCCCTAGGATTTCAATTCCCATGGAAAACAATTTTTTGGTTCTGTGCTCAGACATCATGGGAAACCATCAGTTCTTTTCAAATTTTGAGTAGTGTAGTCCATACAGTGAACACAGAGATCAGACCATTATATCAAGTGGTCCCTTTGAAGAAGTTATGGACAGTGGAAAACTCTTAAACTGTCACCCTAAAAAGTGGTAGAGGTCGCTTTTGAGAGGTACCAGCTACAGTTAAACCTTGTTAATACAGACACTGAGGAGGACATTAACACAGAAAGTAACCGTATTAACAGGGTGTCCGTATTAACCCTTTAACTGCTAAATTAAGCCAAAAGCAAAATTTTGAAAAATAAATAGTAGCATGTGTAAGTAAAGGCAGAGAGCTTTCATTTGAATGGTCACATCATGCGATTTTGTTTATAGACTCAAAAGTTAGAGTCACCTTAACAAAACTCCATCAAGCACTCCGGCAGTGAAAGGGTTAAGTGGGTCGAATTTTGAGAAAGTGTAAGGGCTTTATTTTCCTAGGGACAAAGCAAACTGTCCTTGATAATGAGGTGTCTGTATTAAGTGGGTGTCCAAAAAGCGGTAGGCTCGATTACCAGCCACTGTTCGGGAAAATGAGCCCGCACTCCGGTGGAAATCGAGCCTAGTAAAGCGGGGTTTAACCGACTGTATAAGGCATTGACAAATAATTTTGGTGTTTCAGTTAAGTGGTTGCTTATAGGAGGTGGTCACACATGTAGTCGTTCAGTTACTTACCCTGTAGAAATACTGGAGCTTGCTGGTGAAAAGTGGGGTGGACTTGATGTAGAAAACCCTTGAGCATCAGCACCAAGAGACAGATCATCTTCTGAATCAAAAACACTTCCTACAAAATGCAAAGCAATTCCATTAAAGATGGGGTAAAAACTACACGGGAAATCTGGAAACCCTGGTCAGAAAATTAAATGGTTTGTGCAAATTCCATTTGGGAAGCTTAAGAAAACATGGCCTGTAATTTAAGGGGATAAAATTTTCTACTCTTTTTTTAGTTTTTTTTAGCTGATTTGGATATACATTGTAGCGGGTTGTTGTCCCACCACATCAAATTTTATAGTTTCATGTTTCTCAGTACACAAGATTCTCCTGGGTGGTTTGAAAAAATGGTACATCTGTTTTCTGTTAACAAAAAAGTTACCCTATTTGTTCTTAATTTCGAGTTTTTCACAACTGTTAAAAAAAAAAATTACACAATTTAAGGCCCGCAAATGAAAATCCTTGCAAAATTAAAAGACAAACAATTTAACACCCATATATAAAATTCAAATCATACAAAAAAGGGTTACAGGAGGTTACAGGGGGTTACAAGGGGTTAACAGGGTTACAGGGGGTTACTGGGGGAAACAAAGGGATACAGGAGGTTAAGGGGGATTACAGGCAGATACATTGTACAGGAGGTTAGTGGGTTACAAGTGGTAACAGTGGGTGACAAGCGGTTACAGGGAGTTATGGGAGGTTGTAGGGTGTTACAAGTAGTTACAGGGCGATTAGGTGCACTTTGGGGGCAAATGGGTTGACCTATTTCTGTCAATCTGGAACTCTTTATCTCAAATGACTGGGCACTGAATATTAGTTGAATGTTAACCCTTTCAGTCCAAGGAAATGCATGGAGATCAGTCGTGAGAACTGGGCTGTCAGAAAGTTTTGAGTATAGACGGCTGAGTTATCAAAGTAAGTGGCCAGTCCAGGGATGTTTCATTGAAAAAACACCATCTGTAAAGATGCCTAGCATATTAACCAAGTAGCCAGCGATTTTCGCCAGCAGCTGGCTACATGTACTTTTGACACTCCTGGGAGAATTTGTATGTGGATGGACTCACCATGATCAGATGTCTGCCTCTTTTGATCAAAGTCAGTATAAATCGGATTTTCAACATCTCCATTGCCAGTGTTGGAACTTATTAAGTCCATTAGTCTATTGGTTATTTATCAGCAATATCCACCATCATCCTCACATAAATGGCTTGACATTTTACTTCTCATTTCTACAATTAAAAATTATCTGTGTTAGATATGATGTAAATTCAAGATTTATAGGCCACCTCTGAGTTACAAAAACTCTCGCTAAGTGCAAACCTTTCTTGTGAAAATGAGTTTTATTTGCACGAGAATAAAAAATCACTTTCACATCAATGGCTTTGCACTTAGCCTCCCCTTGAAACAGAAGCTTGAGGCAACCCAGAAATTGCTGACGTTTTGATACCTCTTAAGCGACCGCTACTATGTTGCATTTTGAGTGGTCCTTTACGAGGTTCGACTGTAATACCTGGAGACTTTTACAAAAACATATATATTTCTCATTGGCTACATCACACCAGAGTTAGCTACAATCCCATCCTCTTGGGAGGTGGGATGGGGAGTCAGCTGACACTATAGTTCAACCACATATAATTCCCCACTTAGCTTAATATCTAACATTTATCATAAATTTCTATACAGTTAAGGGACCAACCTTAAGAAAAATTATTGGGGACGGAGGGGGAGGGGGGGCAGAATTCTCAAAATGCATTTTTTTTGTATGATTTTTTTGGCCCAGTGCATTAATATTTTTTAGGGTTACTTGGCATGCACCAATTTCTTTTGCCATTTAATTTTCCCTTGTCCGAATACTTTTATATACTTTGCCCCCACCCCGCCCCCTCATAAGTTTTCTAATGGCCAGTCCCTTAGTGTAATGGCTCTATAAAAGTAACGTTAAAAATTAAGCCTGCTCATAGTCATCAGTCAGAAGTCAATGAAGGACCTGAAAGGACAGCTTCAACTCTTGGCATGAACATGATAAATGTACTATGTACTATAACAGGGTGGTACACATAAAGTCAACTATCATTATTGCGGACACCCTGAAGACCAGGGAGAGCCCAAACTTGCAGGGGTATATTTCAGTCGAAAGTCTGTAATTTATTTTTTCAAGGATTAAGCTGCTGTCCCTATTATCGCGTTGTTTTTTGTAATAGCGAGGACTGCCCCCAAGGCAAAGAGTTTACTTTATAATATGGCTGAATCCATGAGTAGGTAAGACAAAGCTAGCAAATCCTGCATTCTGATAGGTTAACTAGGCTCAGGATTCCACACATCAGTCCCACAAGAAAAAGGTCTATATTTACCAAGCTTCTTTAGCAAAAATAGCTCGAAATTGGCCACATTTTTTTGCATTTTTATCAACCCAGACTTCACCTTGAGTCATACGCAAATACGCAAAAAGAACTTGGCCAACATCCAGCCATCTTGACCTCTCACATAGTATGAAATATTAAAATTTTGTATGAAGTGTATTTTGTAATTTAGTAGAGAAAGCCCACATTGTATTTTAAGCCTCATGGTTTTTTAGGCGTTCTTGCCATTTTCTTTCGAAACTTTGTAATTTGTCGCTGTATCATTACAAGGTGGCGAAATGAGCCAATTCATTTCCAGGTTTGTTTCCCAGCGTGAGTTACTTAATTTGTGCCACATCTGCCTCACATGACATTCACAGGAATAAATTTGTGTCTTAGCTAATAGAGTCTTTCTAAATTAACTATTTCAAAAATTAAAAGTTCCGGTTGCCCAAAATTCATGAATTCTTAAAAATAAGAAACCCCTATGCTACCACAGTATACCTCTTGAAAGGATATTGGAGAATCTGCTAACAATTTCATCACTTCATTCTTATTTTTTAAAATTTATTTTTAAGTCCTATGATAATATAATCATACAATACAAGACAGACATTCCAAATATCTCTCTGTTTATGATTGGCTCAAAACCCCTGGCTAATTCTCTATAACCTGCTAGCGTTGACCAAATTTGAAAGACGTTTGTGATATTAGGTAAAAAGACATCTATAGTACAGGCTAATTTGGATTCAGCTTTCATATGATTTGAACAATTATGCCGATATTGGAGGGTGTCTTCAGCTTCAGCTTCAGCTTTCAGTCTCAAGAGATAACACCCCTTGATCCGCATAATTCTTCAGATCATACTCAGCCTTTTTCAACATTATTGCTAACAGTGTTCAATCTACAACTTCATTTCTCAAACTCATTAATAATTCATAAAGAAAATACAAAGAAAATTAATGTTTAATGAGTGTTTGGAAATCGGATGAAAAACTGCTCAGTATTTGCATCCTTAATTTCTCCTTCAAAAATGATTTTGTTTGAGAAGAAATATCAAACATTCGACACAGTGTTTCATCACCAGATGAAACACCTCGAAGTTCGTCAAAAATACTCCGCTGCGCATCGTATTTTCAACTCTCTTCTTGGTGTTTCATCTGGTGATGAAACACTGCGTCTCATGTTTGATATATTACTTCAAAAATGGTCTCAAACTATGGTATTGAAACTTTGAACAACTGATACCATCCAAACTATCAAGTTCTGGAGGTTGACTTATTAAACTGACTTTCCCAGCTTCACCGTCATCCTTATCAAGCCAACCTTAATGCTTTTCAGGTTCAATTGCCATTCTCTTTTCCATAAAAAATGAATTTAGTGTTCGTTGTCATTTTATGATGAAACAAAAACAAAAGTACAAAGTGAACAAAAAAAGCGTAAATCGATAGGCAAAGCAACGTATGCAGACCATCAAAATGTATGTTTCAGTCTCTCGGAGTTGCATGGACTGCTTCACACAAAAACTATTCGTAAACACATAGCCTGAAATGACAGTTATTTCGCATGCTCATTTCAGGCTAGTAAGCACACCAATTTTTTTGAAAAATGTACTTTGCTCCCATGTCGCCCGTCTGAATTTTAACATGTCTCGTGTCGGTGTTTATAAATGCTTGTCACTTATTGTCGGCTTTGCCGTCACTGTCGCAATTTGACCGAGGGAGGTTGTCTCTTGTCGCGATTTCATTTTACGCGCTATCGCTACTTTTTGGGCCATGTCACTTGTCTGAATTTACCCTGGCAGGGCCTCTTTTATTGTTGCCTGCTCCTTTGGAAGAACAAATATATGAGGTAAATTTTTTTCCTGTCAGTCTGACTCCCCTATAATTTCATTCTGCATCAAAATAGAATATTCCGCAATAATGATGCCAAAATGCCACCCAAATTGAACACTGGCTGATTGTTCCCACATACAGATATGGGTAAATTACCCATAGTCATAACCATAAATATGGGTTGACTGTATCTAACTACTTATTCAGAGATATAGCTAGGCTACAAGCAACTTTATCTGGGTAATCATGGTCACCTTCAGAGAGAGTGTATTTTAAGTCCCTAATGATGACTTTACTAACATAAATTCACAAGTTTGGCTGGGTTCATGAGGGAACAAAAACAGGGTAAAACACATTAAGGCCATGTGTGTTCACACTGCACTGGACGAATTTTCAACCAGTTGAATTTTCGCACATTAAGGTGTACATGACCACCTTAACCATACAAAAATTTAGTTGTCTAGCCATTCAAAATTTGTTTGGATAGAGCAAAAATATTGAACAGTTCAAATACAATGCAATGGGAAAAAATGGACAGGTCAAATTTTTAAGCCGGTCAAAAATTTGTCAGCTGCCGTGTGAATATTGGCTAAATCTTACTTTTCATGATACTTAAAATATTTTGAAGGATGTAGCTAAAAGCAAGCCTGTTTTACCACCTGAAAGTTTCGAGCAGGCTACTAAAAGCTGGCTGCTGGGTGATTTCGCGGGCTGGTGTCGCTGCCTGAAAGAAAGCTCAAATTTAACAGCTCTGGAAAAAAATTGTGGGGTAATTTCAAAGATGGAGTTGAGTAGAATAGCCGGTTTGACAGATAAATAGGCTTGCTTAGCATTTCCATAACTACATCCCTGATCTAAACTTTTTCATGATGCATTAATTGTTCCCTTTTTTACTTATACAATGATAAAATACATAATGACTCAAAAGTGTGATAGGCCCGGAATTTTAAACACTTAAAATTATATATATAATGCAAATTTGCAAGCCAGACTCTCTGTCATTTACAAATAAACCATTTCCGATCCGACACATCATCATAATTTAAACTATAAAAGACACGTAACTTGTAAATTATCAACGAATATGAGCTCAGCCCACGCATCTCATGGTCTGTGAATTTTTTACATTCTCATTTAGAATTTTTTGCACCATTTGCAATGTTAAATCTCCAACTCAGATTATGTATTGGAAAATTTAAAACCAGCTTTACTCGCGTTTTTTTCGTTTTGAATTCAAAGGTATCAAAACAAGAAATATTAATTGGGTTAAACAGTCGGTGAAAGGCTAACGAAAAGTATTAACGGTGGAAACTGGCACGACTTCGAATTACTGAAAAAATATAACGCTTGACCTAAAACCACAAAGTTCCGATCTTGATACCGAAACAAAAAAAGTTTATGCTCGTGTGTTCAAGCCCATAGGAATTAAAGAATCGAAAAACAAATCTAATGCAATCTAGTTATCGCTCGGAAGAGAACAATCCACTTGCAAATTTTTATTGTGACCGAGCGTGCGAGTTTATTCAGGTAAGCAGGAAATTTAACAACTCATTGTCATCTCGTTTTTAGAACACAATACTTACCGAGTCCTAAAAACAACATTTATCATACCAAAATCTCCCAGCGCCATGGGAAACAGCCATCATTCACCAACATTTCCCACGCACAAATGATCGCCGTGTCGAATTCCTCGTCCCACGCGATTCTTGGTGGTCTTGAAAATTCGTTCGTGTCGCCAAACATTCGGTGGTGGCAGCGGCGCGTAAAATGCTGTTAGTTTCGGCTTTTCCCGAACAGAAATGTAAATCGTGACTTGGACCAGGCGCTGAGATATTTATCCGTTCCTCATTTGTGTTTTTGTGTTTACAAATGACAAAAATATCTCCACATGTACATGCCCGTGATACATTTGTCCCGCGCTACTCTCTGAACAAGAAACACGGCGGGAGATCTGGTGAAGAGACAAACAAGTTACGTAAGGATTACGTAAAATTGAATGAAGAAGCAGGTACCCCTGGAGACTTTGCCGAGAATGTTTCAGCTGCTTGCTCTCTTTGTTGTTTGATAAAAGTCCGCAAAAAGCATTCTGTCCTCGCGAAAATAGACCTTGTCACGGTTTTCGACGCCATCTTGACGAGTAGGCAAACGCGTAAGAAATTACAGTGTTTGTATGAGAATCTAATGTCGAATAATTTCCGCATAACGGCTTTTCTGAAAAAAAAATATAAATTGTAAACTAAAGCTACAAAGCAAAGGATTTTACTAAAAAAGTTTGGGGGCGTATCTGTGTTTAAATTTCTCCAGAAGCTTGCTTTAGATTTTCCATATATTTGCCTGTAATTTTTCCCAGGACTTTCTTACAGACCGTGAATGTATAGAAAATTTAAAAAAGTTTCAGTAGAATCCTTAGGAGTGAAGCTTTAGTTTGCAGTTCATATTTTTTTTTCAGAACAGCCGTTCTACGGAAATTATTCGACATTAGATTCTCATACAAACACTGTAATTTCTCACGCGTTTCCCTACTCGTCAAGATGGCGTCAAAAACCGTGACAAGGCCTATTTATGGAGGGGTTTACTCAAAAAGGCAATTGGAGGTAAGTTGTTTTCTTTTTCGCGTTTGGAATGACATCCGGCAAGACCGCCTCCCCTAACCCTTATTTTCTCAATATTTTACGAAACAAAATTAGGCATTTTTTTCCAGTTCTTCTTATTTTCGTTTCAGCATTGCTCAGCATTTCAAATGAAATTCAGCGCGCGCCCTTTCGCGTACTGGTCATCAGGGCCTCGTGAGCATTGTTTGTCTTCCGTCGCCATGGTGCCGTTTTCGTGCCACAAAAAATTATTGCCTTTGGTTGCTTTTTATTTGTTCGGCTCTTGTTATAGTTTTTTCTCGAGTTAATTAATCACCAAATCGCCACTAAGAAGAGTTTACATGATTGTGGATTTCTTTTCTTTCTTTCTCTTTTTTTTAAAAAAAGACAAATTCAGCCATATTCGTTCAGTTGAGAGTTATAGTTCCAGATTTGACAAAGCAGTTTAAAGAACTTGCGCATCTTCAAAATGAGAAATGAATTAACATTTGACTCACCTGCCTATCTTTGACTACAAAATGTTTTAATTACTCACATCCATTAGAGTAAGACGAAAGATAATTAAAGCTTCAATCAGCTGAAAAGGATGAACGTCCTCGTCCGAACGGAACTGCTCACAGGAGTAAGTGAGCAGGTGAGCAAGTTGTGATCATATCAACCTTTGTTACGTCACGTACAATCTTCTGCGCGCGTTCCCTCTTCGTCTTCGCGGAGCCTGCGAAGTTTGGGTCAGCAGAAACTAGCCAAACTGTATTTGCCCATTTGCTGATGGGGAAATTTTTTTAGTTCGTAAAAACGTAGCACCCGAGAAGACCCGAGAAGTAGGGTTATAGAATGGTTCCACGAAAAACTTGGGTTTGGAAAATTTTGGCCCAATCTCGAAATCTCGGAAGCGTTTGTGACTGGTCTCGAAGTATCGTTTTCGGGTGATTTTGCGTCTCGGAGTCTCGACCGCTTTTTAAGTCTCGGTCTCGAATTTCGAAACCGGGGTCTCTCAGTCTCGAAATTACCACTCTATACCGCTGGAAGTCATGAACTATTGCAAAGAGTGTTTAAAACTTATAACTTTTCTTCACTATGATCCACAAGAGATATATTTATAAGGTCTTTTTAGAGTTACTATTATTCTTCATCACCTAACGAGACATTGATCACTCTTATCTCAACTGAAGGACTGATTTCAACATTTATTCAGTTAATGTTTTATTTCTACATATGTAAATCAAAAGACAATCTGGGAACGCTGGGAAATGCCCTCTTTATAGTTGTAGGTTTATACAGTCTTAAGAGTCAGGGGCGGATCTAGGGGGAGGGTGCAGGGGGTGCGCACCCCACCCCCCCTGAGATGACCTGCGGTTTTCTAATACAACTGGTATTCTTCCAAAAAAAAAAAAAAACTATGTGGTTTATTGGTGTTGAAGTAGAGCAAGAGACGAGTGCACCCCCTCCTAAAAAAGATCCTGGATCCGCCCCTGAGAGTAGACACTTCACTGTTTCTCTGTTGAAAGCTTTATGTTTAAATCGAGAGAACTGACAGGGTTCTAAAAACAACAAATTGTAAATGCTAGCCGGAGAAAACAGCCGACATTTTGCGAAGCCATCATTGGTTCTTCCGCGAAATGACGTCTGAGAAACGAGCGCAGAAATTCCATACTGATGACGTCTCACTACCCAGATCTGGAAAGTGCTTCTGATTGGTCGTTTCGCATAGTGCTTGTGATTGGTTGGAGCAAAATTCCCACCCAGATCTGAGTAGTGAAATACATCAGTATGGAACATCTGGCTGGCGTTTTTATTGTGAGACAGGAGTTATCTCCCTTTTACGTGCCAATGCTTCAGCAGCTGCGTCAGTAAGAAGACTCGACAGGCGAAAATCTTTGTTCAGCACATACGAGACATCGTTCTTCTCGATGCCTGAACGCCGATTTCCTACAAAGAGAGAAATGGAAACAATAAAATTGTGGAAAAAAAATTGTTCGATGTTGTATAGCAATTGCTTGTTCAATAGCGCAAAAACATTCAATTAAAAATAGGTTCAAGCAAGAAAAACAGAAAGGAGTTAAAACGTTATCAATAACTATGGGGCAGGCTTTTACTAAACCGAACGAAGTCTAGAAGGGGGTTCAGATTCCGCATCACGCTCCTTTTTCACGACAATCCTGCCAGTTTCGAACTTCTGTAATCTCCACCCCATGTCAATACCGCAGTGTAAATAGACGTATTTTAAGATTTGTTGTAAAGGACTGGGACTCGAACTATGATGCTCTTCTAGACAAGGCTGGTGTGTGTGGTTTAGCCAACAGGAGGATACAAAATATGATGATTTGTATATTCAAATGTCTCCATTTTGGTAAATATCCATGCTATTTAAAACAACTGATCAAGTTAAGATCTACTGCTTACTCCCTACGGGGTACTAATATTTTATCACTTCCTAAGCCGTCTACAACCACATATGGTCTAAGTTCCTTTAGCTATTCATCTGTTAAGTACTGGAATTCTCTACCTGATCACTTTAGAAAGACTGTAGATTATAGTGAATTTAAGCGCAAATTGTTAGTGCACGGTTTTAGTTAATACTACATTAATTAATATTATATTATATATGTTGTAACTTTTAAAATTAGTTAGGATCGGAGATACTAGCTATGTAAGCTACACTAAAATCCGAGGATAAATAAAGTTTATGTATGTATGTAGTGGCGGATTCAGACCTTCAGATAAGGGGGGGGGGGGGGGCGGTCACCCAGACCCTGATATAAGGGGGGGGGCTGGCCTCAAAAAATTTTTTTTCGGCCCTTCGGGCCTCATTTTGGTCTAAAAATATGGGGGGGCCGGGCCCCCCGGGCCCCTCCCCAGGATCCGCCACTGTACCGTTTTCTTTCTCAAAAAAGCATCCTGTGCCATGACTCACACTCATGCCACGCCCCTCTGCGTTCTCGATCGGACCCCTTTAACCAATCAGCTACTGGAGGTAGGCTGGGAGTTTACTGTGTATTTTTTTTTCAAAATTCTGCCGCACATTTAATGCTCACTTACTTGCATCAATCCTATACACAAAATTAGCATCCGCTCCTCCAGCACAAGGGCTTGAGCCCTGGGGACAAGTTTGGTTGTAATTCTGGAAGCATCTTTCTGACGAGCCATACTTGATGTATTTTTGTTCGGCATTGGCGTCACTCCAGCACTCTCCTGCAAAGAAAAATAGTGTCATATGCCCTTTTAAGCGCCTGATTCAATCTCAGGGGTAATCCAGCAGTCTCTTATGCAGCCATTCTTTGTGTCGTCACGCGCTCCTAGAAGCGTTGCGTGACGAGACGACCGGTTAAAAATTAGTCAGGCCACCCTTTCAACTTTAATTCAGTAACTTCAAGTTCCAAGCCAGTAAGAAGAAGGGTTGAGGTAATGTTCAGTGATACATGCGAGTCGTTGACAACTTCAGATAAGAACGCACACTGCCCCCTTAAAATTTTCTACACTGTTTTTCTTACCATGTTCGTGTACGCCAAACATTGTGTAACCCTTGTGATGTGCCTCACGAGCGCATCGGCATAAGAATTTCGCGAACTCTCTTTGCCAGTTATCACCATATTCCATCATAACTCCATTGAACTTTTGATCGGCTGGGTCTATCTGGTTTAAGAGTTCTTCAGCAAACGCACGATTGGAAGAATCCTCACTATAGCAACCAACAGCTTGATAAGAAATCTCGCATGGGGCATCTGAAGAGTAAAAGAACCCTGATGTGCTGTAGAGAGCTAGTACCAAGTAATAGTCTGCTTCAATATTGGCTTCAATATGGATCTATTTCCACCCTCAGCAGCTTTTCTCTATCGCCCTTTAGCAGCCATTACACCCGAGACATAGGTGAAGAGAACAAAAATGGCAGAGAAATGTTTCGAAATGTAAGATACACGCATAAAAAGACATTGTTTTCACTCGTTTTCTGCAATTATCGTTGATGTCACCTTTGTACGAGCTAAAGCTTTATAAATTTGCAGTAGAACTCTGAGGAAACGGAATAAAGTGTTTTTACTCTTGTGACCAGCGTCTGTGCAAATTTTTTGGAACAAAAGAACGTGTTGACCTGAAAAAAAAGTTCCACTCCCATGCAAAAGATTGGTTTGGAACACCAATATGGCTGACTTGACGTCACGCTCCATATCGGCGTAAGCAAATGAAGCTACATGAGCCACAAATGAATAGGAATGGACGGCGTGAAATGTTGAAATTTGATGTTAGAATTTTATTATGTGTTTTAAAAATAAGTATGTAGTAATGAGAAAAGTCTTACTCACCCGACAGTCGATAAACCGCATTGGCAAAGTTCTTTCCCGAGCAAAATTTTTCGAAAGGTCTGCACTTCTCAAAACAGTGATCCACGCAGTTGTTTGAGAAGCCCAACTTATCGTAGGTATCTTGTGAGTGCAGACCACTCCAACATTCTCCTAATAAAGAAAGGTAGTTGAATATCAGATAAAGTTGGGGTGGAGTTGGTAATGTCAGCCGCCACTACTCCGATTCATAAAAAGGAAATGTCGGTCGTTTCGCCTACAAGTCGATTCGCCCATACAGAAGTCGATTTGAAGTTGTTTCGCCCATTTACTTAAGGTCGATTCGCAAAGAACACATTTGCGTTAGAAATTCGCGATATTAGGTTGATACTACAATAAATATATAGTTTAAACATGCCAGTGTCTTTGGTAAGCTTTACTCCCATTTATACAACACTATTATTAGATTCATAAACTTCAGTGTGGGCGAAACTCGTTACTTAAATCATGTAGGCGAATCGACCTCAGTGTAGTCGGATCGACTTTTGAGCGAAAAGACCGTTTTCCATACAAAGCGCTGAGGTCGGGTCGTTCGAGAATTTTATGGCAAGTGCCCCAGATTGTGTTCCGATGACCTACTTAAACGTTCAGCCACTGTTCGTATCTGATTAATTTAAGTTGCTGTATACTTCAGACCCACAGAGTAAGTATACAACCTCTTCTCGAAACTGCAGCCGCCATGTTGGAAAACAAGAAGGCCTTAGGACGAGGTTAACAATATCATAAATATTTACCTCCCCGCCGCTTATCTACGGCAATAGCTAAACAACCAAAAGGATGATATCACTTAATACACACCATAGTACTGCACTCCAAATGTAGAGTGTCCTTTTAGTTTCGCCAGCTTGGCGCACCGGCAGACGAACTCAGGCAAATATACATCCCAGTTTCGCCAGTCAATTGACTGGCCGCTGTAGATCTTAAGCCTCGGCTCTCTGTCCGTCATCATGTAACTGGGAATTGGGCGTGGTTCTTGTTTATTGTCTCTGAAGCAGCCCAATCGTTCAAAGTCCAAACCACAGTCAGATTCTAAATCACAATAGAGATTTTAAAAAAGCATGCTCAGTGAATCATCATCAGCGAATGAACGATGTTGTGGCAAACCTGCATGCATGAGCTAAGCGAGGGACAATAAGTACGCCACAATATAGCCTGCATAACAGGCGCTTTATGAGCAAATCGACGTTAACGCGGCATTTTGGGCGAAGCGCGAGACGAGGGGAGCAGAAAAACAAAGCGCCTGCTCCTCCCCTCGTCTCGCGCTTCGTGCAAAATGCCGCGTTCGCCTCGCTTGGCTTATAAAGTGCCCGTTATGCAGGTTATATTATGGCGTACTTATTGTCCCCCAGTGTAAACCTAATAACTGAGCCTCAAAGGAAATGAATCTCTCAAGCCTCTAAACTTTCCATCGGATAATCTTCAAAGCATTTTCGACAGTGTTTTGATCCGTTCAATCTTATGAATCTTAACATTTAACCCAGGCTACTGATCATGAACATTGGAGAATTACATCTGAGAATGTAGAATCTGAATTACATCTTGTTTAGGAAAGTATTCGAAAATATCGGCATTTGAAAATACTGCTCTTGTTCGGTGCAATAGAGTACCGAAGTGATTTCCGAACTATGTCGAGTTAGGTTTAAATTCCATACAAAATCCTTCTAAATTTGGCTTGGGGAACCGGGTAAGATTTAGAAGGATTTAATTTGGGTTTATTCCAAATTGCTAATTTTTAGGCGTCTTGGACGTTGTTCTTGTCCAATCATGACGTTGGTGCAATGTCATCGCGAGAAAGTTTGCCGAGAAAGTGATAGTTTATTAGGGAGCTTAAGCAACGAAAACGGCAAAAAGCAATAGGTTTAGATAAGCAAAACAACAACTTTGCACGTGCATCACGCTTTTTTGTACATTTCTTTACTTTCGCGTGCACGACTACAACGTGAAAGTGCCTAAATTCTCTTTTTGTCGAGGACGGGAACACCAGACAACAACTTCCTTTTTCTTTTCCTGAACTTTGATAAAGTCCTTTAGAATTCATGCACTTCAAAACGATTGCCAACACTTGACAAAGTAATTTTAAATGAAATGAAATAAGTGCGATAAAGTTTGAAGCAGCGTCAATTCGCTTTTTAAGTGACGTTTTCGTAGCCGTCGTTGTTGCTAATAAACTACAGACGATTTGTGTCTTACCCAGTTCATAAACAAAGTTTGTCCATTGTTGTCCAACGCAGTGCCGGTCAAAACGATTGCATTTCGCGTAGTTGTCTGATATGCAGGACTCCTTTGTCATAACAGTTTTCAGGTTATAAGAACCTGGCTGTCCACTCCAACACTCCCCTGAAACAGGCCAAAAAATAATGCTTTAACCAATCAGACTATTAACCCCTCCTCGCTAGAGAAGTTAATTTTTCTCTAAAAAGAAGCTTCCGGCCCCTATCAACGTCACCTTAACTTTTGCAGATGAACACTCAAGGAGAACCTGTACACAAGAGAAAGTTCTTAGTAGCTTTGAGTTCGTGGAGAACTGAATCCTAGTGTGTGACCGTTCAGATTAAAACCATGGAACAGTATTTTGTGAAGTGCTGTTTACTATGCGGCACTTCAAGGTGGTCTCAACTTGAGTCTGTGAATGAAATCCTATGATACTTACAATTAAAATGAAAGCTACTGAGTTTCCTATGGTACTGTTTTTTATGTTGTGAAACCGTGGTTTTAACTTTTGAGTCTGTCAATGAATATGACCAAGCAAATGAAAAGCTACTAAGTAGTACTTTTATGTGGTAAAAGGTACAAAGTTATGGCTTATGAGGCTATAGTTAATATCCCATTGTGTGCCGAGCAATCCAAACTGAGTCCTCTTCTAAAAGTATACATCAGTTATAAGAAATATGCGGGCTCGTTTGTAATCACTCATTTAAAGCCCTTACCATAAAACTGTAATCCAAACACTTTGTAACCCTTCGCCTTAACAATCTTTGCGCATCGACAAGCAAACCCTTGCATGTAGTTGTTCCAATCCCTCCAGTTGATCATTCGCCCGCCATACACCTTGCTAGTCTTATCTCTTTCGTTCAACACTTGTTCCTTAAGCACGCGATTGGGACTGTCTTGGAAACATCCCTTCGCCTTGTATGCTACCTCACAAGAACTGCAATGCCAGGCCTTAACTGGACGGGAGAAGAGAAGAGTAGGATTAAGGGATAGAATAATCTTTCGGGGTCCCTTTTAAAAGCTATGCAACAATCTCCGACTGGTAATCTCGTACCCAGATCTCCCACAGGCAGGCAGATGGGCCCAACCTACTAACAGCGGGAGATCTCGGCACTCAGATAAGGGTGCGTTTGCGCATGCCGGCACTCGCTGTCCCAGCGACTGTAATTCGTCAAGGGAGAATTCAATCCAGTCTGATTACCAGGAAGGAGCTGGGACTCGCGCTGGTGGCGAAAAAGTCTATTCACATTTCAAGTGTAACTCACGAAAAATATTTCACACTCAAAAACCCTAACGCCGTTGTTGGTACATTTAGGTGAAAACCACAAGGTGAGTTAAGTGGACACATTTCCCTTTCAAAGGTAGCTTTGTTAGTGGCCATAGTTCATGGCCCTCTTTGATCCCCAGGCATCCTTCATGTTATATGCACCCACTAACGATTATCGATCAGTTTTTCGATTGGCGCTCTGATTGGTAACTAGCCGATGTATATCCGCTAATCGTGCAAAACCAATTTCAGTTGAAAAGAGATTCTAACCAAGATGGAAATTCATCAAAAATTACAGTCACAGCAAACAAAGCATCCCGACTGTACATTCGCCTGATGCTGCCAGATTAAAAATATATGATGGTAATTAAAGTCTTTTTTTATTATTTCCAGCGGCAACCATTTAACATGAAAATAAATTGCTTAAATTAATTTTAAGTCAAAATTCTTAGGTCGAGATGGAATTAAAATTGTCCTTTACCGCTCAAAGTTAATTATTTTTTTAAGGGAAAGCAATAGCCTGCTCTCGAAAGGAGCCAACTACATGTATACGTATTTGCCTCAAAATCGAATTGGTTATTCATTTTGGATTTTGTGTACGTCTTGTAATTGCACAGTTGACCTGGCCGTAGAAACTATGATTTGGGATAGTTTTTATGAAACAAAGAGAAGAGATAGAAAAAAAAATTAAAAACTCTGGAAACAGTCGACTGCTAGATAGTCTGCTACACAACCCTCTAAAAACGGCTGTGCAGCAGACTAACTGGCACATGATTGAATCTTAGATTTATTAGTTGTATAAATTCACAGCGGGAACTGTTTTTGTGGTGTGGTAAAAAAGTCTCACTAGTACAGTTTTGCCGCAACCTCAAAACAACATCTATAATTAAAGCATTTGTACAGTGTGGCCTGCTAAAAAACTTTTAAAACGTGACAAAATCAGGGTAGTTGTCTCATAGCTCTTGAGTCGACGATTAAAATTCTTAAGTGCGAGCATAATGATTTTAATGGAAGCTGTCTTTTGATGACCACCTCGTTTCTTGATATCTTTGATTTATGAACTTATGCTTCTTGTTATCTTCAGTACCCTAATTTAAAACTGGAAGGTTCTCGACAACCGTCTGCCGCCAGCAAAATCGACAAAAGGTTTAACAAAGGTCTTTTAATTTGTTTAAACAAGGTCGGTCGGCCTTTTTAAACATTTCTAAGTCAGTATACTTGCATGATTACTTAAAAAGCGAGTTAGTGGCTTTTCTCAGACAAATCTCTTGTATTGAAGTATTCTTGTAACCATTACTTTCAGCCCAAGTCTTTGGAAATGATTTTTCTTAAATAACGACTTCAATTACTTTATTCTACTGAGTTAGCGAATAAGAGCATAACATACCACTAGTTTCACAAGTTAATGTTAGGATGCTATGACAACATAAATACCTTGGTGATCGAACTCCGCGCACAGCAGAAGAAGAAAAAGAATTAACCGTGTTTCCATGTTGACGCTGGCTTGGGCAAAGGGAACGTACTGCGAAAATTGGCTTAATACTCCAGCACTAAGCCCGATCGATATCTAATGCGTCGTGAGATACGAGTGCCCTGTTAGAGACGACTAAAACTAATTATATACCCTTTAATGCCAATAACAATAAAAACATTAGCATCATATTAGGTCAGGATAGAAGCAATTACTTGAAGAAAAGGAGTGTTTTGACAAGTGCAAACAATGACACGTCAACTGATCTGCGATAGCGAATCCGGGCGTAATGAAAATCATTCAAAGCAGAAATTGTTTAATTGTTTTGATGAGGTCTAACGAGAATTTAGGGTAGCTTGTGTAACATTTGCTTACTGAGAAACGATGAAAAAGATAATTATATTAGGCTCTATTAGCCGATTGAGATAAAAGTGAATGCTTTAAGAATTAAAAATTTCTTTGAGTTAAATAAAGGCTGCGAGATTGGTTAGAAAGCAAATGGTGAGCCGACAGTGAAGCGAACAGGTGTTAAGTACTATTTATTGCGGAAAAAAATGATTATTACTATTAAAAAGAATTGTATGGTGCCGCTACCCGATTATATTTTGAAGAAGCGGTTAACAGAAAAGTGCTCTTTTAGGTTTCGTATTGCCAGGCTGAATGCATAATGACCTTTTTAAAATTAAATTAAAAGCAACGAAATGTAAGAAAAAAAATCACGATCAGTGAATTGAGCTGAGAAAATGCCCTCATCACACATTCGCGTCCCCAGAGCCCTTGGTTTTTTTGGTCAGGTATAAGCCGAGTGGCTTTGGGGACGAGAGAAGCGAGGACTTTTATTTTGGTGCATGCGCAGTCTGGTGAAATTGCTACTAATTTTCGACTAATATCCCTTGGTCGACTCCCCGTCTCTATTAACCCCTTCTCCCTCCAAATGGGATTGAAATAAGTATGACCCCCCTGGGGGAGGGAGCTTATTAGAGAACAGTACCGTAAATAATTCAACTTAAAACTAGAGCGCCGCTGTTGGGAAATGAGCCCGGCCTGCGCTACTTCTCCGAAAGGATTTTTTGAAGCCTGTTCTGGAAGAGGCTCAGGGGAATAAAGCAAAAGAAATGACATTGAGATGCAGGGATGAATCATTCATTCATTCGTTTTTGTTTTGTTATTTACGTGTTTCAGTTTCGAGTTTTGTGGTTGTTTTGCTTTTTGCTGTTTTTTTTTTAACATTATGTTTCTATTTTGTGCTTTTGTTTTGTGTGCTGTTTTGTATTTCCGTTTTGGCATTGAGCGGCGTGTTTCTGTTTCCTACTCGCGTGTTTCTGTTTTGGGGCTTGGGTTTCCGTTTTGGCTTGCGTGTTTCTGTTTTGAGTTTATTGCTTTCTGCTTTCGAGTTTTGTGGGTTATCTGTCAGCTGCAGTATAGAGTACACAAGGCGCCGTTTTGAGTCAAAATCTCCAAGGGCGAATGGGTTAATGCGGGAATCGCATACGGCTAAGTATGATAATCTGCGTTGTAAAATCTGCACAGGATATACAATTTCGATTTATAGATCCACTCGAGTGAGTAGCACGAGCTTCAGTCCCAGTTTCGGATCAATAGATTTTTTTACCGATAAGGCGGCCATATTGAATTTATTAGCTTTAAGGAGTATTATGGGATGCCCAGTGGGCATTAGCACGATCCGATATATTCCCTCAGTATTTACGCGCGCTTTTCGGCCAATTTTTCTATAAGTTTTCCTAGAAAAAGATTGTAATGAGAAAAAAAGATCGTTGTGCCTTGCTTGGATGTAATAATGATCGCCTTTTTCCCGAGAAGTATACGTTGAAGTTCTCTTTATGCCCGAAAAGCCCGCGTAAATACTGAGCGAGTGCTCCCTGGGCATCCCATAATACTCCTTAAATCTAGTAAATTCAGTATGGCTGCCGTATCGGTAAAAAGGTCTATTGAGGTTTCTGGGTAACTGACCCCCTACAGGTGCCAATCAGTCAAGAAATTAGTAGAGATAGAGGCTCCTACCATCTACTCCTCCCCTAAGTCAACATTAGAGATTAAGCAACGATGACGGCGATAGCAACAAGAACGGCAAAAAACTAATAGGTTTAGATTAGCAAAACAACAACTGTTTGTACGTGCATCACGCTTTTTGTACATTTCATTGCCTTCACTGCACGATTACGACGTGAAACTGCCTAATTTCACTTCTTATGGAAGAGGTGAAAACAAGACAACGACTTTTCCTGGACTTCGATAAAGTCCTTTAGAATGCAACTGCAGAAAAATTTGCCAACATTTGACCAATTGAACGAGATGGAATAATTGCGATAAAGTTTGAAGCAGAGCGATTTCACTTTTTAAGTGACGTTTTCGTAGCCGTCGCCGTTGTTGTTGCTTAAGCTACTTTCTAACACTTACTTCTCACTTGGGGCAAAAGTGTGACCTAGGGGAGGGGTAGCCACAGTTTCTACTCTTGAGTAGAGAAAGCACGTAACCAGTCTTTTATATCTGGCCTTTTAATTATTGTGCAACAAAGCCAAAGTAATCGCGAGGTCAGATCCTTTCTAATCAAAACAGATACAGATAGCGCAATGAACTAATCAGAGCTCAAAGTAAAATTCATGTGATACACAAAAGGGAACGGAAGGGCGGGGGGGGAGGTAAGAGATCACCGTAAGAGCCTGGACCAGCCTCGTTCCCAGGGGGGAAGGGGAGGGTAAAACTCATCACCTCAAGAGCTTGGACCAGCCTCGTGCTCAGGGCTTTTTCCTTAGAAAATGGGACGAGTGGGAAAGTGCCCTGGGGACGAGGCTGAGCTTGGACCTGTTGACCAGATGGCCGCGCCTGGTAAAGCGAACGGTAAGCACTGGGGCGAAAATCCATGAGACCCTGTGTAAGCTTGTGTAAGGTAAGAATGTCTATCCAAGAGTGGGGAGAGTACGTACAAGTCTTGAGCTTTATTTGTTACTCTAAATAAAACAAGGTTAGAGAATGACTGAACTAAGATAGATGTGCGAAAGATTTTCTCAGTAAAAAAAATCGATATGATTCAAATAAGATTCAGTTTAAAATAGATGAGACGTCCATATGGTTTACATTTAGATCATTTTATAAAACAAGTGAATTATGACCGAATGATTTAGCTATACATAAAATACTATGCAGCCTTTATCCTCACAACACTGAGCCGCGCCAGAGGGCTGGTAACTAACGTAACTTGGATCAGGCGTGTGAACGCCATCAAAACAAATCCCACAATTCTGTTCGGACGCTTGACTCAATTTATACTCCCAGGTTCCTTTCATTGTAAACGCGGTCGAACACAAACTACATTTAAAAGTAGCTCCCTCAGAATTCTGGGACACTTTCCAAACGTCTTTCTCAGGGTGATAAAGAACACATCGTTTTCTTCCGTAGTGTGGATCATATTCCTTGTGACAGCGAACGCAATGAACGGTGTCAGCGGTAAACTTGCTTTTCGGAAGTAATGTTCCCAAAGCCAAGATGACGTCAGAGTTTTTTGTTTTTAGACTGTGTTTAAGGATACCATGAAGTTTCAAAGGATCAATCGTCTTAAAAACAGCTCTTAACCGATTGTATTCCCTTTCCAATTCGCCTTCTGATAGATCTCCTTTGTGCTCCTTATGCTCTTGATTATTCTTTAGTATATGAGGATAATTGTAGCCGTTTTGAAGAGGCTGAATGCAGTCTGGGTATGAGCCGCTCGTACTGCTGTCCGAGAGACTGGAAATAGAGTAAGCTTCAGCTTGAGCTACGTCATAAGCTACGTCATCAGAAGATGACGAAGAATCCATAAAATGGACTTTCTTTTTCCTTTGTTTGCCACCCAGGAGAATTTCATTGGAGTTTTTCTCGCCATTCATTAGGTACTCGCCATTTTTAAACTGCGCATCGTCCGAACTTAATACCATTACCTCAGCAAACTTATCGAAAACAAATTGATCTTCGCTTGTAAGACCGTTTTTTCCTGCAAAGTGAAACTCGTTGTCCTGTAGTTGAGTTTTGTCTAGTGAGTCAGTATCACTATGACAGTAGTGAATTTCTTTTTGCATCTCATGTTCACATTCGGGACATTGCAAATCTTCCTCGTCATAACTCTCCCCAGGCTCCAATTCGTCCTCTTCGAACGTTGAGCACGTGGAACAAGTTGAGCACGTGGAACAGCTGCATTCCGATCCTGTGTCGTCATCATAATCAGAGTACTCTTCATGGTCGCTGATAAACGATGAATCACTATGATTATTAATATATCCATTTTCTTCTACGATGTTGCCTTCCATTGCAAATTTAGGTTAATCCGCAGAAACAAGACTTTTCTATTCCCTGTTAAGATAAACACGCAAAAAGGATTTATTGACGATCAATTAGCTTTAATTATTACTTTCCGCGTTCAAGTTAGTTAGCGATAGAGGAAGGAATCATTTATACAAATTATTATAATCAGTTGAAAGTAAAGGATGGTTGTTCCTGAACCTACAGTACCACACGGCCCAGCCATCCTCAAGTCTTACTGTTGTTGTTAAAGGAGCTGTGTCATGAAATTCAGTCAAATTAGGAATTTACAAAATGCCCTTTAAATTAAGAGAAACATTAAAATAACCGCTTAAAATTTTAAAGGAAGATTAAAATAACATAACAGAAACAACAGATTCCACGGATGGGCAAATCTGCTGAAGATTGAAACGGATTGAAATAAGGGGTTTTTTAAAACTGTTCTGCCTAACAGTTTTTCAAAGTTGATCCCTGCTTCTTAACCTCAAAAATAATGCTCAGGAGAGATATTTGTTTGTCTCGGATCTCTGATTTTGTCATTTACATGAAATTTCTTTGCTTACTTTAAGTTCCATAGCGATTGAGGGCGAGTGATTGGCAAAATTAAAGAAAATTAACTGGACTGCCGTGACACAGTCCCTTTAAGTTGTCAGCCAAGCAAGTTTAAGTAGATGCTAAGTGAGAAGTGCCCGTAAGTGTTTATGTTGGCTTAGGGAAGGGGTAGGTGGACAGCTTCCCAGATATCTGTTTAAATCGTCTTATTTAAGGATTTTCGTTTAAATCAGCTATAAAATCGAAAGAGGTTTTGGCGTCACCATGACCCCATATGCATGTTCAAGTTCAAAATGTTTAGATCAAACTGTAAAAAAAAACACTATCAGCTGAACGACACCGAAACGTCGTTCGATCTTATCGTCTATCTTTAATGGTTAGTGGTTGCTTTTGATAAACAAAACTATCTGCAAGAAAATTGTCTGCTAATTGGTTTATGTATAATACCATTATCATTATCGAGTCGGAAAACCTGTGAAATGGCATAATATGCATTCTATCGCTCTATT